GAAAGCACAAAGCACTCGGATACGGTGTGGAAAAGCTATATAAGAGAGACTTTAAGAGACAGAGGAGCAGGTAAGAGCCTATGCAAAAGCAAGAGGAGACCAATCCACCAGCAACCACCTCCCTCTGCTGCCCATCCAGCCTCCCGTCCTGTCCCCACAAAGCTCTGATTTATTGTCGGATGACATCCGAGCATCTCTGTTCCTCTGACCTTATCCGCTGTCACACCAGCTCATTTCAAACCTGCTGGTGATCTGCAAGTTATTTCAGGTCTGGCTAGCAATAAAGTGACTTATTTAAAAGACTCAGGCAGGGGGATAATGGCCTGTCCATTTCTGATGTGCTCATCCTGCCTGGGCTGTGGCACTGCCTGCATAGGGTCTGAATGAGTAAGGAGCAGAGCTGCTGAAATCACATCACCACACTGCCTACATGTTTTCAAGTGTCCTGAAGAGCATTTATGAGCCCTTCCTATTTCAGTAGCCAGAAAGGGTTAACACCAGTATCCTATTTTCTCTTCCATTTCCCCCTCCCTGGAGCCTACTCCCCTTCCAGCCTAATTTCCTTCAGTTTAATTAATTTTCAGTAATCACAAGTCTAGACACCACAAGCAGCAGCTTCACACCCCAGGTGACACGGTAACGCTCATAGTGGATGGGCGAAGGGACGCGGTGTGGTTTAACACACCAGCCCCCCGCACGGAGCTAGAGCTGCCCACGCCTCAGCTAAACCCTTTTTGCAGAACAAACAATTTTTTGGAGAACAAATGCTTTTAAGGATTCAGGTGCAGGGAGCTTTTCGACCATCTGGCTGGCGGGGGCTTCCCAGCTGTCTGCAGCGGGTGCGTTCGGAGCAGCACGTACGAGCAGGGTCCAACGCTTCGGAGACGTGCCAAACCTGCGACACATGTGGAGAGCAACTGTGCAGCACTGGCTCACTCCAGAAAGCCTTGGGTCGGTGGTGTGTGGGCTATAAAGCCACACACTATACATGTGCTGTGGCCCATGCAGGATTTCTGGAGGGTTGACAGCCCTTGCTGACATTGTTAGAGGTGCTGGGTGGACACACACCTGCTATGTGATCCCATACCTTGCTACTCTGGGCCAATCCAGAGGTTCTCACTTCTTGGATAAAATTTCAGGAAGGAGAAAGGGATAAGGGCAAGAGCAGCTGTGATGGACCTGAGGAGTCACCCTTTACTGACCATTTATATTTGCCACCCACAGCAAGTAAGAAAAATTATGAGATATCAGGAAGGAGTTAGAAAATAGTAGTGATCTTGGAAATGCATGGAGAGGGATCATTGAGACAAATATAGGGAAAGCAGGACTGAAGTACCTTGAGAAGAACAGGAGCATGGCGTCACTGGAGCATGGAGGAGCAGAAGTGAGCAGGACATTGTTTTGTGCATTAAAACCTGCATCTTTAACGCAGAACCGTTCAAGAAACAACTTGACATGGCACTTAGTGCCACACTCTAGTTGACAAGGTGGTGATCAGTCAAATGTTGGACTCAGTGATCTCAGAGGTCTTTTCCAACCTAAATAATTCTGTGATTTATAGCTCACCAGGCTGAAGCAGTTCATAGGGCTGCCACTGTACCTGCTGGTTTTCCATGCATTAGTATGGAATATTTTGCATCCCAACACTAGCTGTCGCTGATGGCTCTTGTGCTATTCCCTGCTCATCAGCACTGATGAGCTCCAGAAAATCTCATTGATGTTTGAGGGACTTTGCACATATTTGAGGTGAATATCCCACAGCACACAAGAATGAATTGGGGATCCAAAGAGAGAGCTAACACCCACCAGGCCTAGTAGCTGCTGCTTATACAGAGGCTCTGGAACAATTTTTAGCCCTATAAAAAGCACACATTTTAAAACACATAAAATTGGACCAAGTGATAGCTAGCCAACTTTTTGTATAATCTCTCTTTCAGTCTAACTCCAGTACAGAAAGAAAAAGAATACTAATGAAGGAGCTTGACAGAAAGGACAGTTAGTTCATGCATGCATTAGTGAACAGCTATGGTGTGTGAAAAAAAACCCTTCCTATCCTTTCATTGCAGAATATCACTGCTAAAATATTCCCCCCCCCCCTCCAGTCAGAGATTTAGTACCGGTGTTACTGAGTGCAGTCTGCAGGGCTCTCTTCCCATCCCATTCCAACACACTTCCACCTTCACCAGGACCAAGCAGGGTGAAAAGCCAACCAACCATGGCCTGCTGTGTTTGGCTCTCCCTGTATAGCCTGGTCCTTATTGCAGATTATTGCTCACAAATGTGCTGGCTTGCAGCAGGGCAGTGGTTTGATGTGTCCCCAGCACTCACAGCTCATATTTAACTCCCACACAACCTGTGTATTCAGGTTGGGAGTACAAAGCCTCCCTTAGAGGGTCACTTCCTTCCTCTTCCCAAGTGAATGACTCCACAGAGTCATGCTGTTGGTTGGGCACTTACATTCCTATGTTGAGAAAGTAAATATTTAGCGCTGGAAATATTTCACCCTGTTTGTGAAGACTCAGAATAATGCTGTGGGCTTTATTGAGCTGGGATCAGCAGCATCCAAGACACTCGCAGCACTGTATTGTGACACAGGATGAATAACACCATTCTCATCCACCCCATAATCACAGAATCCTAGAATGTGTTGGGTAGAAGGGACATTATAGCTCATCTCATTCCACCCCCCTGCCATGGGCAGGAACACCTTCCACCAGACCAGGTTGCTCCATGGGCCATCCAACCCAGCCTTGTACACTGCCAGGGCTGGGGCAGCCACAGCTTCTCTGGGAAACCAGTTCCAGTGTGTCACCACCCTCACAGGGAAGAATTTCTTCCATATATCTAATGTAAATTTTCTCTTTCTCAATTTGAACCCATTGCTACTTGTCCTATCCCTACAGTTCCTGATGAAGAGTCCTTCTCTGGCTTCCTTGTAATTTTTTCCAGCTTCTGGATATTATGTTATAGTTACTGAAGCGAGATCACCTGACTCCTGAAAGGTTTTGTGTGTGTGTTCCCGGTAAGGAAATCAAAACAAAATAAACTAAATTCACGGGACAGAGCACATTAAAGTCTATTTGGCTGTTATGAGCTAGATTTCCTAATGCACTCAGGATGTCCAAAAAAATGGAAGTTCACTTTTACAATCACCTTCTTCCCCTCTCATGGTCCCCCCCCACCTTCCTTTCAGTAGATTATGTGAAACTCATTACTTTTTATAGCTCTGAACAAAAAACATAATCTTACTGTTTCTTACTAATATTAGGCAATGACATAATGCCATTTGCAGAGGTGTCGCTGACTTTTACTGGCTTCTGATGGCAGGGCTCTCCGCTTTATATTCTGTTTTATGTAAGCCTCCTCAGAATTTATTGACCTCAAAGGATTTCTTCAGTTGCTTAATTATAAAAGGAAGAAGACAGCACAGTGGCTTACTGAACCACTATAAAAGTCAGCTAAAATGTGTCATTATGGAGAGGGATGGTGGGGGAGATGCACAGCAAGAAACAGTTTCTAGTGTTTGAGCCCAAGAGACAAAGCTTTTCCTCCAAGTTATTCCCTAGCTTGGATACTGCAGGGTGATGCTGGAGGATGGCTGCTAGCTTGTCCTGGTGTTCCATAGGTGTGTTGTGTTTGCTCCAGGTGGGATGGGGCAGAGGCTATGGGCACCTCCAAAGCAAGGGCAAGGAGAAAACAAGAAACAAATCCTGCAGCAGATCTTCCAGAGCCACCTCAACACAGGAGAAAGTTTCAAATAAAAACCTGTGTTTGGTCCCAGTGCTTGCCCTATCAACCAGGCCAAGTCATGAACTAAACCATTTCCAGAACAACCCTGCTGATGCAGAAGCTGGTTGGGGATTTCACTCATCCCCAGGAAAAAGGAGAAATAAAAGCCCTAAAGCTACTGCTGCCTCCAGCTGGGGCACATGGGGACAGTTCATTTGAGCTCATCCCCCGAAGCATTTCTGGTGTCTGCTTCTGACCCAGCACTGGAATGGCTTTTCTCAGCTGTTTCAGTTTCCAAACCCATACTCCTGGGGAGAAAAACAAAATTAAAAAGAAGCAGGAAGGGAGACACTGATGAAAAAACAAACCAGCAGCAGTCACTGCCCATTTAGTGAGGGGGATTTAATGATTTGAGCCAGACTTCCTCTAGCTCAGCATGGTCTCCATGTTGAACAGAAGTAATTCACTTCACACTCTCTCTTGTCCAAACTTAAAGCATAATTTATGTCCCAACATCTCCAACACTATTCTTGCTCCTCAGGATGGAAGTTGGAGTGCTTAGGAACTGAGAGACTTCTCCAGGCTCATGTTGGAAAAGCAGCTGTACTATGGAGAGAGGCTGGGCAAAAGTTAGTTAAGTTCATGAAGCTGTGTAAGAATAATTAAAATAAATGAATGTATTTTGAGAGGTCATTGGCTTCTCTGCGTGACCTGCGCAGCAACAGTACTGATGCTTTGGTACAACACCCAGCACAGGGTGACAGGCAGCAACCCCTCCTGAGGCTCCTTATTTCTTAGTTACTTCTAATTTCAAAGTGGTGGAAGAGGGAGCTCAGATTGTTTAAAGATGTTATTTTGGTCTCTCCTGCACCGCTTGGTACGCGGCCCATGATTGTGTCCAAAAGAGGCAGATTTGGCTGGAAACACTGAATGCTGCTTAGTATTTTCCCTGTTATATTTTCACATCTTGGGGAAAACTGTGGTAGCGAGGGATCTGTACCTAAGCTTTTCTGATTCATGTGACCATCACTTACTCGGCACGACACCACAGGTCTCACGTCTCTTGGCAGCAGTACAGGGCTCGCACTTTCATATGGATGAAGTATTTGTGAGCAATTTCTTCAATTTATTAAGCATGAACAGGCTCCTCTTAGCATGGAGCAGATAGAATTTTTAAAAAACATTTCAACAAATCTGCTCCTGCAGGTCTGGGACAGAAAGCTTTGCCACGCACACACACACACACACACCCCCCCACCATTTTTTCTTACCTCGCCCTTCAGCCACACGGGTTTTGATGAAACTACAAATCGGATTCATGGCTTTGTGCAGAAGAGTACACTTCCAGCTCCATGGCTTGGTGGAAAATGGTAATACTGGCACATTTCCTTCCCTTGCAAAAGGGCTCAATTTGCTCCATGGACTGGGAACGCACAAACAAGATCTGAGATACGAAGATTGCCTCTGACGGACTAGAAAATAACATGGAAATTAAAAGACTAAATAAGGGGTATCTCCATGGGGTTGCTCACAATAGGAAGGAGAGAACATACGGATCCAGGCAAGCCATTTCACGTGCATGAAAACAGAAATAGCAGCAAGGAACTGTTCTCAGATAGACAATAAGACAGAAATTGGAAGAAATGGGGGAAAGCAAGAAAAGACATGAAGCATAAGAAAATCAGACCAAGGCAGAGAAGAGTGGGATGAAGAAGACAGACTGACAGACCAAGCCTTGCAAGGAGAGGACCTGATTGGAGAGGGGAGAGGGGAGATAGAGGCTGGCAGTGTTCCCCACTGAGGAAAGGGGTTTGATGGTTCCTCACCCATGAGTTCCTAAGGAAACACTGCTAGGAAGCAGGGACATGTGTCCAGTTTATAACTTCTCATTATTTACTACTTCTATGAAATTTTTCAAAATACACACATGATGGTCTGGGGAAGAACCCAAAGCTGTTTTGAGTGTCCATGCCACCCCTATGCACACCATCGGCTGCTGCTCCCCCTCTAGAGAGGGGCAACCACAATGCTTTTCCCTGCAAAAAGGACCCAGAAAAGGGGTTCCAGGCACCCAGACACAACAACATGGGATTTCATATGTGCTGCAATTTATACCTCAAAAATAAAGCTTTTATCTTCAGAACTATGAGTTCACTGGGTATTTTCAAACCCTGCTAGTGGAAACAGTTGGACCACAAGTTTGTGGTTAATATGCTTCTCTCTTTGAGACAGAAGTTTTGTTTTGTAAGTCCTAAAAGTTCTTGTGGAATAAGAATAGACATTATTTTAATATCTACAAACTGTTTTTGTGAGTCAAGAAAATGTTGTACCATCACCATGCAGAGAGGGCAATGAAGTATTAGCCTTGCTGGTGCTTCTCCCCCTATAGCCCATGGAGATTTTTTAACCAGTCTACATAAGGCAAGAAGCAAAATCAATATTTTATTCCTCTTTTTATAGACTGGATCTGGCATTTCTGGAGGGAGTCAGCAGATCCACAGGATTTATTTTATTTTTCAATTTGTGAATTGTTACTAGTAAAAACCCTAATTAGGCTAAAACATGTGTTACTGTCATAAAGTATGTGAAACCACATCACCTCACAACATGACAGGTTTCTTCCTGTTTCTTCCTCAGACCAATAAACGAAATGCTCATGACAGGGTTTAGACTTGCTATACTATTCAAAAACCTTATGATAGACTATTTTATGGTGTAAGAATGTCAGAAGGACTTTACTGCTGGCAAACAGAGACAATTAATTAATATCACTCCCCATGTAGCTTCCCCCTCTTTGAAGCCTTATTCCCAGAGATGGCACTCTGGCTCTCTTGAAAGGACTGTGATTATTAACACTGGCTTTGGACCTTAAATATTGAAAAAACAAAAACCCACACCATGTTCTTCCCAACAAGAATCACTGTAAAAAATAGATTAAAGAGAATGGAGAAACATACGGAAGGGAATAAAGGAAGTGGGAGAGAGACACAGAGTGTGAAAAAGGAGCAACTCTGGCCTAATTGAAGACAACCAGAGTTTTGCCACTAACTGAAATACAAACAAGCATCCGCTCAGAGACCACAAACGAGCTATTTCTGCATGAATGGATTTTGCTGGATGGTAATGTTTGGCTTGTCACAGTCCTGCACCAGGCAGCAGCATGCACAGTCTTGTTACAAACCAGCTTTCAGGAATAACCCATACTATGAAAGCAAGATCTCCTCTGTATTGTGGGTGGGCTTGGAGATGATGGTGGGGAGATGGGTTGCTTCCATTTCTTTCTTTCTTTTTTCTTTGTAAGTCTTTATGTACTGAATGTCACTTAGATGGCTAACCTGGAAAGATGAGGGATTTCATCGTTGACTGGCATGATGTAGATGTAAAGTGTCCCTTGGACTGTGCGCTTGCCATCTGTCAGCTGCACGGTAAAACTATCCTCTAGGCTTTCTGTGTCATTATGCATGTACAGCAGCATCAGTCCTACAGGAAAGAGGGGAAAATTAAAATGAAAACCCTGGATTCTCTAAAAACTTAAAACATAGTGATCGTAATATTTCTCCAAAAAAGCCCTGCAACTCCCTGGAATTTAAGACATCAGTTGTGATCTTTAAAAACTATAGATTCAGAAAGCCCATCTACTTTCCACTGAAAGAAATCTTTGTTGCCATTGTGATGCAGATGCCCATCACTGTAGTGGGATGCCACATGCAAACCCATACAACTTACAGCCCAATGTAGAACCCAGACAGGATACTGTCCCTCTGACAGCATCCCCCTACTGCTGCTCTCTCCCACAGCTGCCCCTTCCAAGGCTTTGATATTTCTCATCTGTGGTCTCCCACCTTGTGGTGACTTGTAGCTCGGACCCCTCCCAAGGGGTTAAGTCCGTGTTTAGCAGCCTTCAGTGGATCCTTTATTCTTGCTGCGATTCCTGCAAATGCAAGAGCAGAAGCAGCACAGCGGGGTTCTGGAAGTCATTCCCAGCTAACTTACGGAGTAGAGAGAGAGCCAAGCTCAGCACGCTTTGGAGCAGTCCCCATGGGAGGCCTCGATTGATAGTGAGATACTGGCAGTATCTTCAGTAAATTTTGGGGGCACTTAAAAGAGATTCATACATGATGTGTTCTTCAGCACATCTGTTTTGCAGGGATAGAGCTCTCCCTAAATTCCTTATTCCCTGGGCACAAACACAGCCCCTGTCACCACGGCATCCAACACTCGGTTGGCAGCCCCTGCTTGCCGAGCCCTCGACGCGGCAGGAGAACACAGGCGGGCACAAGCCGAATTTAACAAGTAACCTAGAAAGTCAGTGGCTGCAGGAAGATTTGAAACAATGCTTCTGAAGACCTGGTGCCGCGTCCTACCCACGTGCGGCTTTACAACGCTTTTTAAGGCAAGGTGATGGGGAAACACGGGATCGAGTTGTTCATGGAACGAGCTTAATTGGCTCTGCAGTTCATGTAGGTAAATACATCCAGAGCATGCTTCATACACTAGGTAAAAAAAATAATCGAATGTTCTTTGAATTGCAAAGCCTACATTAAAAAAAAACAAAACCAAAACACAAACAAACAAAACCGTTCCTTGAAAAGATTCCTTGAAATAATCAGCCGAATGCACCGCAAGTCCTGAGGCGGCGAGGCCGGGCTGCAGTGAGAGGCGGCCCCCGGCAGGGGCCCCCCGCGGCCCGCGCAGCCTGCGCTCCTCACCCGGCCGGGCCGGGAGGGGCCGGACCCCGCCGTGAGGGACAGGCACCCCAGCCCCTCCGCCTGGCACCCCCAGAGACCTGAAAACACTCAATCACTTAGGTTGGAAAAGCCCTACAAGATCATCGAGCCCATGCGTTCCCCCAGCACTGCCAATCCCACCACTACCCCAAGTTCTCAAGTGCCACATCCATGCGGCTTTTAAATCCTTCCAGGACAGCCCTTCTTGAGAAGAAATTTCCCCCAAAATCCATTCTAAAATTCTCATGACACAACTTAAGGCCGTTCCCTCTCATCCTGTTCCTTGTACCCTGGGAGCAGAGCCCAAGCACCCACCTGGTTCCACCCTCTTGTCAGAGAGTTGCAGAAAGCCAGAAGGTCCCCCCTGAGCCTCCTTTTCTCCAGCTGAGCCCCCCCCAGCTCCCGCAGCCGCTCCTCATTGCAGTTGTGCTTCAGTCCAAGATGCAGCAAGAAGCAGTTAAACAATAGAAGGCAGTGGAGGAAAGAAAAAGTGCCATCACTCACACCTTGCTGGAGCTCAGATGGTAAAAGCTGTGAATCATAGAATCACAGAATCATAGAATAGTTTGGATGGGAAGGGACCTGAAAGCTCATCTAGTTCCAATTCCCCTGCCGTGGGTAGGGACACCTTCTGTTAGACCAGGTTGCTCCAAGCCCCATCCACCTGGCCTTGAACACTTCCAGGGATGGGGCATCAATAACTTTCCTGAGCAACCTGTGCCAGGACCTCACCCTGATGAGGCATGTCACCAGCATCTCCACCACAGAGTCCACAAGCTGATGAGAGGGTGAGGATGGAGATGCTTGGTGCATCCATGGGGATGGCAAGGTCTTCAGCATTCAGTGTGGTCAGTCCTATAACGCACTGGACACCTTCTCTGATCTGCTGCAAGGAAAAAGTCAGAGACGAAATACAGACCTGCCAATCATCAAGATTTATGGAACAGATAAACAAGAAGTTTTAAAACCAAAATGATGGGTACATGGGAGATATTTAGTAAAAAAATATCCCAGCAGACCCTCTGCCTTTCTGATAGAAATGTTAAAACTTCCAGTGGAAGCCAGTGCTTGCCTTTTCATTTCATGAACTGGTTTCTGGGGGCCAGATGCACAGAAAGGGGTATTTGAAGTATGTGACCCTGCCCTGCCTTTATCAGGAGGCACAAGGGGAGGCTAAGGGGGAAGAGCAGATCCCATCACTGCCCTCAGAATATCCTCTTCCTCATGGGTACAAGTCTGCTAAGTCTACAGGTGCTCCCAGATTTGCTTTCTCTCCCTTCACCGAGGGACTGCCACATATCATCGCTAATGAAACCTCCGTTTACATTACTCGGTCCTTTCCCACTCGCAGCATATGCTCGCTGGAAAAAAAAATTAAAAAAAAATTATTGCTTTTAACCCCACTGCAGCATCTCTTTTTTTTTGCACTTCAAACTAGTCTATAATGTACGATGGAGCGCCAACGCTTTCATTGACATATAGCTTGTTCACTTGGATGTCATGAGAGAGCAAACGAGTGAATCTAAACAACGCAACGAGCTGGTTATATGGCTAATCTGGTGGGTTGCTTTGATTTCATAAATAAATTAGTTTAGTCTTCTGAACAGGGAGAGAAACACGAACCAGTGATCTCAGCAGCCCTGCTGCCCTTCATTACCAAGAGGGCCTTGCTCAATTAGAAATGCCATTTGTTTTGATTACGAGGTTTTATGTGAATAAAACCAAATTTTACCCTAATACGTTGAATAAGGACTCGTATAAAGAGCTACAGCCAGAGATGTTTTCCAGCTGAAATACTGGACACAGGCTGTATGTTAAGGGGTGTAGGTAAGGCAAGGGGTGCAGACCAGCACCTCCAAGGGTGTCCTGTGTACAGGCTGTGTTAGCACTAATTGCTGCCAGCTCACCGCTGATGGTGGACCAGACACCAGCATGAGTTTTTCTTGGGAATGAACCACAGGATTATTTTTTTCCTCTTTCCTTTCTGGATGGAAATAGCTCATTAAATATTTAATTTTTCAATTAAAGAGTCACTTTGAAAAAACAAAAGTTAATATTCATCCTTTTAACATGTGGCGGGTTCAGAGCAGCCGTGCTCTTCGCACACATCAGAACCAGAGCTCAGACATGAGCAGAAACTGTATAAAATGCACCTGAACTGCATGACATGCAAAAAAAGGGATAAAAAATAAGTGCTTCAATCAAAATAAATACAAATACCCCCGAACTCAAAATAAAGTGTATGCAATAGTTGTATTTTTAAAGAGTGTTTAAAAGAAAATAGTTTAGGCATTATTTGAAATAATATTTCTATTAACGGCTTCAGAAAATAATTAGACAAGATGGAAAATGAAATCTTTAGGTTCCACAGAACCATTTTTGCCATTGAATTTGGTTAGCCAGAGACTGGCAAAAGCTTTTCAGTCTGATTTTACAAAAAAGCCCTTCATATTTTCACTGTTGCCACCCAGACCATTTGCTCTATTACAGAAGGACAAGCGACTATCTTGGTGCTTTGGAATTCTGATTTCAGTGCACCATCCCTGAGCCAGCTCACACAAATCTTTAACCTCTTTGCATCCCACTTCTTTCTCTGTGACTGGAGGAGGTGGTGGCACTTGTCTTTCTACAAACTGTAAGAAGGACGAATACAGAGGTGACAGGACCATGCAGGGTTTTTAGACAGTCCAAAGCAGCCCTGTGAGCTGATTTTGTGGTCCCAGCCTTCATGGAACTGGAATTATAAAATGAAGCCACTGTATGTATGAGCAGGTTCGAACTCCAGAGAAGTTTTTCTGCACATTTTCTGTGGAACTGGGTTATAGATGCACAGGCAGCAGGTCCTTCCACCTGAGTAAGTCGTTTCCTTGGGTCATAACATTTCTATTTATGGAACCTATTTTAACACTTCTTTAAAAATTGCCTACAATTAATGCAGCTAAAAGTGCATGTTCAGCAGGAGGAAAAGCCATGCTTCGACACAGCTTGAGAGAACTAGAGCCAGCTGAAAGAAAATATCATCTCACCTTGAACTTTAGGCAAAATAAAGACACTTCTTTTAGTGTCTTTCCATCTTTTAGTGATGGAAAAATTAATTGGAAAAAACTGATGTGGGTGGCAGAGAGATGGGTGGGTGTGTTATCAGGAAGAAGTATACTTTGAAGCACTTTTGAAGATTTTTAAGATCTATCAGCTAAGATATCCAGACACCTGCATGGTCATAAATAATTTCTTCCAGTCATTGCTCTGTTGAGCCTGGTAACCTTCACTAAGGCATGATTTCAAGTAAAATCCCATGTCACTCATATAGTAATCTGGGAAGAGCTGTTACAACTTCAAAAAAAAAAAAAAAAAAAAAAAAAAAGGAATTTTATGGTCATTTGGAGTATAATGCAATGGAAGAGGAGGTACCTAGGCTATAAAATCTCATTGCAAATGAAATGTAATTGAAGGTGTGGGCATAGTAATTGAGGGTGTAGGCATAGTAAATTGGGCAGATAAGACTCAGCAAGAGTCACAGAGTACTTGGTTGAATTTTAGAATACTTGGTTGAATTTTAGAAAGTGACTCAGCAGAGTTGCATGGAGGGACCAATTTCAAGCATCCTTCTTGTAGTATCATCATTCTTGAAGTCAGGATACCCTGACAACACTTTTGCTCATAATATGGATTGGTTTATGTCACAGACAATTCAAAGAGTGGGACAAAGGAATGATCATTGTGGTGTATGAGGTATAAAATATCCATTGAGGGAAGAGATGGATACAGAAGTGCTTATTTTGTGCAACAAATCAAACTGTTTAAATTTTGATCATAAAACAGTGAAGAATTTGCTAAGAATTTGCTAATGTCCTTGACTAAACTATAGATTTTATACTTTAAAAAAACCCCTGCCAGATCAATACAAAGAAAATAGTCGGGAATTCCTGGCTTCTGTCCTCTTGCTCAAGGACAACCCCAGTTGTCCTTGTGATAAATACAAATAAACTGCTACAGAAATAACATCAGGTTTAAAAATTCTCAGTCAAGTTCCTCAGTATGCTGCAGCAAGGTCAAATCCAGGGGGGTAACATATTTTCATTGCCTCTTTTACTGGTGCTCTCTTGCTGCAAAGCATTCCAGCATTCTTCCCAATGTTGAGAGCTGGCATTTCAAAGGACACGGCTTGTTCAGGACCAAAATACATGGCAGTTGTTGCCCTTTCTATTTAGGCCTTAAGCCCTGAATCAACAGTAAGAATCCTGGACATGGGAAAATACAGTGCTGACAAATAAGTAATTCAATTAAAAAGGCTGGCATTGTTTAAGCAGTAGCCCTTTCCTCTGATCCATCTCTTTCAGAGCTCTGTGTCTTAATATTATGGCCCACTTGAAACACTCGAGCTCATGAATGGATTAAAGAGGGTTTCATTTGTTTTATTTATTATTTTTACTGCTTTGCTTGGCTTTTTGCAAACAGGGGAGGCACAGACCTCATTTAGAATTCACTGTAACATGTACATTCTTCCCTCCTCCGTCCAGAGGAGAAGGAGGGGGAAAAAAAACCCCACAACAAAAAGATTGCAACTGTTTCAAAAGTACCAGAACTCTTGGGTAATTCATCATCAACACTGACTGATTAACAAAAGTGGCTTTAGAGCACAATCATTTCAAAACATGGATAGTATATACATTTACTGCCACAGTAATTTGACAGATTTAAAAAAGGTGGAAGTGTTTTACCCAATTTTTTGTTCAAAATTACATTAAACAGCATTGAGTATTTGTCTTTAAAATTCAGTCCTTGATTTTAAATGTGATCTCAGTATTGTCGTGTCTCACTGTGATAGTTGTGTATCCCTTAAAATGCATTGATGTTGCATTACATCAACAAGGACTCAAGTTTCCATTTATCTTCAAATATTTCACAATCCTGCTGCAGTATATTCTCAGTTGCAATTTTTGCTTTCAAGTTTGGCCACCATGTGCGTAGCATTAATTTCTCTGTTCACATGTAATTCATTCAGGGACTTACACCAGCTGAGAACCACATATGGAGGCCCAGATTTACAGAGCTTTTATTTTGTGCCATGGAAGCCTACAAGAAACAATTTTCTATTTGAATATTGAGTGTTTACAGAGGTCTTGTTGTTCACTAGAGACAGGGGATTATGAAATCATATTCTGCAAGAATCCTATCCAAAAAAACCTGACTGTAACGTTTATTAACTCCTCTTTGTTCAAGTGCTCGCGGGGTTCTCACAGGGTGATTGACTGTTGCTTCTCCTCTCTCAGGGTTTGTTGTTTGTTATTATCATTGACCACTTTTTAAAAATTGTTGGTGCAGCTTCAGCTGGTTTCTGTTGTCTCTGACCTTACAACTAGAGTTAGCAAGGAATGGCAGCAGAGACAGGTGAGGAGTGGGATGTAGGCCTCAAGCAGACCCACACAAGTGCTCCAAAGTTTAGCATAGCTTTGCCACTACTTCTTCTGGAGCTGAAGATATTCACAGGGATCTTTTTTGATGAGAAGTAGTCAAAAAATTGTATGAAGGGTATTGACACCATACAACTCCCCAGTGCTGGTGTCCGTACCAGGCAAATAATATTTTAGTTTGAGAATACGTTCCTGTTTTATCACATTTGAGTCAGCTCCAAATGCAGATCTCTAAGACCCTTCTGTGGTGCTCATTTAAGCTTGTTTTGAGAAAATAATGACACATATTGAGTGACTAATGTCCCACATAATTAATCCTGTAGCTCCTTATTTATCAAGATTTCAAGGGAAACAGAGCATTTTAATGGAAAACAAGAAATCTGAAGCTAAATCTAGTGCAGACAATAATCCTTGGAGGGGTCCTTCAGATGATGTCAGAGACCTGGAGGAGTCACTGGGTACTCCTGGT